GCCGACTTGCATATGGGCTCTATTTGCAGAAACGAGAAAATTACAGAAAAAAATCTGCAATTCCGACATATTTATCGAAAATAGTGTTTGGGCGCTACTGATTTAACAGTTTAAAATGTCAAAATTGTCAAAGTGACTGCAAGAACTAGCAAGAACTTACAGGACCGTTTCATCATGCGCAAATTTGCAGGCGACTTGCAAATGCATTCTGCTTCTGTTATACAAAAAGTGAGACTTGCAGGTCCTGCATTTGTATCTTGCTGTTGCAGAGCTTCTGTAATTCACTCGGTAATTCACTACTTAATACGCAATTAGTTCTGCGCAGTTCCAACTGGTTCGCGATCAGTTCGGAAAACGATAACTTGAAAACACCTCTTGCTAGCAGTTTCACGCGTCCGCAAGCTTGAACGCGCCTTGTCTAAAGCCAAAACTGACACAATTTTGGCATTAAAGGCTTGTTGAAAACGTCAAATTTTGATGCATTAAAAGGTGCGTTCAAAAATTTGTGCCAATTCCAATGACCGCAACTGTACATATCATATAAGGACACTGGACAAAATTAAAATCAAAAGCAAGTTTAGCAAATAGGAATCGGTGGGAGGGGCGGCAAAAATATTTTTTGCACGGGGCGCCGATATGTCTGGAGCCGGCTCTGACTATAGGGACCAAAGTGGTATTTTTAATCCCGAGACAAAAAGTTTTGTCGAGGGATTAAAAAACACTTTACATGGTCTCTCATTTTAAAAAATAAACTTCGCTCCACTACACTTTCTTGACGCACCCTGCATGCTTAAAACTGACTAAAAAAAAAAAAAAAACTTTTGACAATTGACCTGTCTCGCATAAATAGAAAAGGATAGCTTAATTATAATAAATACAAGTTGGGAAGTAATAAAAGATGACATGCGCGCGCAACTAGTGGGTTGCAGTGTAGCCAGTTTGTATTGTTACAAAATAAATGTAGATAATACAAATCAAACATTATAACATCAAAGAAGTGATATAGTTTCAAGTTTCAAGTGTTTCACAACGCCTTAAATCAGACAAAAGAACAGCTTTAAAGTGTATGTTAACATCGTTTGCACTTTTATTTTGATAAATGTTTCATCCGGCAACATCGTAAAATGAAAGTCCAAAGGAATATGTCAAGTATAATCTGACATAATTTTAAACAACACTGCGGTGAGTTCAGAAGTAATACGTAAAGTATTAGTTTGCTCTTTGTCGAATAACACGTTACAGAGAAAGAAGGAACGATTAAATCTGAACTGGCCCTTGAATAAGAATATGACGCAAGCCCGTAACAAACTTGCTTCTCATTGGACGCTCACCTGCAGCCCACGAGTTGCGTGCGCAGTCAAGGTAAAAAAAGATAGGTCAACTTCTCAAAACTTTTGTATTTGACACTTCTGTTGAAAACGTCAAGTGAAATTAGGCTCTCCAAACCACGTGATTTTTCAATATGGCGACCGTGGAAAATTTGACGTTTGTTTGTTTATCTTGAGTTTATTTGGAATATTTTCAAGCTTACAGTTTATTCTGTTATAATATACTTTTTGAGATGCAGAGTGAATATTTAAAGACTTGAATGCAGGAAAATCGGGATCTGGGCGAACGGTTAGTTTAAAAAAATGTCCATTTTGATCCACAGTTCACATTAATGAGCAAATGAAGGCCTACAAAAGCTTAGATTGTTACGAATATTTCGAAAATGGCTTCATTTCAGATGAAGGAACAGTGGTAGTGAAAAATTTTTACGTTTTAATTGGAAAATTTTAAAACAAAGGGCAATGAAAGAAGCCTGACATCATCCTTGTTACCTTGTTGAAAGTCTCGTTGAAACTACTTCCACAATCAACTTCAAGACCCGTTTGTGGCATTTTTAATTGGAAGAAACACTAATGAAGTCAATAATATAAAAAAATAAACAGAGTTCATTCACAAAACAACCACAAAATGCACTTTAAAAAGCTTTAAATTACATACTCTCATATACGGGATCATGAACTTCTGCCACAACGCACTTTTTGACAGGTCGTTGGAAAGCCTAATAGTTAGAAGGGAGTGACATTTATAATAGATAACCCTGTACGTACAAGATAAACTTCAATATATTTATTTAAGTTGAATTTATATGTATAGTTGAATCCAATTATTACAACTTTGAGTTGAAGTTGAAATATCCCCCACTTTGCCAAAAGACCTTGAACATTTATCAAGTTTCTTACTCAGGCCTGGATTAAGGGGGGAGCTATGGAGGCTATAGCCTCAGGCCCTGTCATTGAAAGGTGTCCCCGTCTCCGGGCAACCGAGATTAGATAAATTTATTAAAAAATATGAACCTAAATGGATATTAAGTTTGGAATTGCAGTTTTGGACTTGGTTATCTTTTGTCGGCGAACGACTGACACTATCGACAGTCATTTGGTATGTATCAAAAGATATCATACCAAGATAGGTATCAACGTAGACTCCTCAAAAAGTTAGCCGATGCCCGATGGCTCAACAGAAACACGACAAGGTTCAGACATTGAATCGTACCGATGATAGATAAAATATCCTAGCTTGAAGGGCCCCCACCATAACTTTATCTAGCCCCAGGACCCTATATGCCTTAATCCGGCCCTGTTCTTATTTACCAGACAGATAGGGTGGTCCACTTATTCGGTCTTATTGCGGATATTACGGATTTAAACCCGAATTAAAGCGTCTTTTTAACTAAAGTGGCTTTAAAACCAGTTTTTTCGTTAGGTTTGAAGCTTTCTAACATACAATCGTAAAATTTAAATTGTTGCCTTTTGTTATGATTAAGAAGTGGTGGAATATTGCAGAGAATGGTCACGTTCACCAGCACTCAACATGTTGAGTGATTAGTTAACGGCTTTGTTGAAAACAGATGAAAATCAGCTCTAGACCAATCAAAACTGTTCTACCTTGTGTATTCCACTTGTTGGAACAAAGCCGTTTACTAATCACTCAACATGTTGAGTACTGGTGAACGCGACCAATGTCTATAAAATGCAATTTTACTTTTTTTGACAATTTGACAATTTTCGTAACATTTCAACAGAAACAGCCAGAAGAAAGTATTTTCAGTACAAATTTGAACAAAAAAATGTGCAAACAAAGAAAACACTTTTAGGAAAAAATTTGGTATTATTTTCTGGTGCGACTTTAAACCAAAAATACAACTACGAAATGATTTGTGCAAATATAAGCCCCAGTTGAGATTGCATTTTAAGCCTAGAACAAGTGAAATTTTGCAGAAATTGTCCAGAAAATGAAATTTTATACTTATTTCAGATATTTTTCAAGATTTTTAGGGCAATTTTTAACCATAAATGCGCATAGGAAAAGACCAAGATTTAGAGTCCTTTGATTTTTTAAACACTTATGTTTAACAAATCGTGATTCGTACAAGATTTGGTCTCATTTAAAGATTGTTCAGAATTAAATCCCCTACGACACATCAAAAAATTGGTAAAATCTATACAATCCAAAAATCTTGCGGTAGCCGCGCGCTATATACCTACCTATATCCTTTGACATTTTTTTTTTGCAATTCAACAAATATTTATCATATTTTGGGTCATCGAGTTTGGCTTCATATTATTTTCAAACTCTTTCATTTTCTTTTTGGCATCGTCCAACCTGCCTTTTTTTCACCAAGACTTCGACCTCCATCAACTCCATTGTCCGCTCAAGCTGTTGCTTCAGTGTATCGAGCTGTTGTTTCAGTAAATCAAACTTGCGGTTTGCTGTCTCAAACTCCAGTTCATTTTCCTTCAGAGCTCCAGCAGGAACTACCGCATTTGTCATGAGATCCCTCCAATTATTTCTTAGATTTGCTACGCTCTCTTGCTGGGTTGGCTGCTCTATTTGGCTGCCGGTGGGTTGGGGGGAGGGGGTAATATTTCTCTATTTCCCTTGGTTTATCGCCCCCCTAAAGCAATCTTCGTAGTATTGACGGCGAAGCTCTCTATGGGACGACACGCTTGAGGTGTCTCAGAATCACAATTGTTCATGATCGCTTTAATGGTTGGATCTATTTCAGTTTTTTGGGATGGTGCTGCTGGTGGTCGTAGTTCAAAGCCATTTCGGGTGACGATTGTGCTTCATTTTGTGTTTCCACAGGGAATAACACTGGACTGGAAATTAGTTTCTCAAAATTATCGAGAAACTCATCTGCCAATATATCGGCCATATTTGCTTCGAGAGTCATGTTCTATAACTCGAATGACATCGTTCAGTATGCAGTTCGAATTATGTTAAGGGTTCACAGCCTTCTGAACCGGGGCCCTTCGTGGGGCTGACTATGTCGGCGGCCGAAGAAATGATCAAAGAACCTTTTCCAAGAAGCGTTGAGACGATAAGATTGGCTGCAACTTATCCAAGAAACTGTTAAGCAACCCAGATAAAGATGCAGGTTGCAGCAAGCCAGAGACTGTCGTTGACAGGGTATGCAAATGACGGGCATCTTGACTGGCCACTGTCAGTAAAACAAAACATTTATTTAGGTTGCCTCTTAGCACCACACCATTGTGTAGGGCTTGTAATCAAGAAGAAGATGGAACACATTCTTTGTGACTGCACTGCTCTTTCGTGAATTAGGCCAAACTCACAGATATAGACACTTGTGGGTCTTTTCTCTCATACTCTCTTCATCCGAGTACATCTTTAACCATTCTAGAACTTTTGCTACAACTTTAATAAACAAAACAAAGCTAGGACTGGAACAGTGAAAAATCGAAGCAAGAAATAATAATAATTGACTTTAAAACTTGCCCTGTCTTATTATTAAATACGTGTAAGATTGTATAAAATAGGTACATAACACCAGCGCCCTGCTATAAAACTATATGTTGAATGGTAAAAGAAAAGTAGAAACTAAAAAATTAGCAAATACTTCAGTCTTGGAGTAAATACTATTACTTGTACTTGTAACATCTATTGTATAATTTTACCAACTTTCTGGAAACAAAATATCAAGACCTACTTACCTAATAGTCCTCGATGAGTGTTAAGCATACTAAGAATAATCCCATGGCCTGTCATACCTAGCAAAAGAACATAAATATCCACATATTTGCGGCACTTCGGGTATAAGCCATACAAGCCATAGCTGAATCTTTCCTGTGTAAAATGACGGGCTAGCATATCAGCAGTCTCCAATAGTTCTTGATGAGAGAGCATTTTTTGATGTTGCGCATATTGCCGCAGCTGATCTCTGAGGAGATTAACTTTAAAAACTAATTTAATTAATTGTTATTTGAGTTAACCTTATTGGTGCCTTGGGATGTATTTTAGCAGGGTTCGCTAGCAAATTAAGCACATCAATCCAGACTGATTCGGCAATTAAATTATTCTCAGGAGTTCCATTGCTGGATTTTAGCAGGAGCGAAAAAATTTCACCATAGTGTTCAGGGAATTGATGTTCAAATACTGAAATTCAGCTACTTAATACAAGTATTGATTGAGTTTTAAATATTACCTGATAATAAATGTTTCCTATAAAGGCCGTGTAACATAAGAGCATCCATTGGAGGATCACAGCCCAATGCTGACAAAGCATCAATTATATTTTTGATAATCTGCGAACGTTGACTTAAATTGGGATGCTTGTCTTTGAGCCATTTGTCTATTTCAAACTAAAATAACAGCACTTATGTTTTGAAAAAAGATTAAACATAAAAATGTAGTAGTAACCTTCGATACAAGAGCAAATATTACATCATATTTCTTAGCCATTTCTTTAGTTACAGTTGAATACATTAGGAGCATATTTGCAGTGCCAGTGTTGCTGGGTAAGAAATATGGAGCCAGGTAGTTACCCAAGTTTGGTTGTTTTAAAATCCACTCGAGCAATCTGAAACAAAAATCATATCAAATTATAATGAATAGATGCATCAGTTTTTTTTTTTTTCAAATAAGAGAGTTCCAGTTTCGACAAAACCTGAGCAAACTGAAAGCTAACCTGATTCAATATTTAACCCATATGCCGATATCTTTTCTGAATATTTTTTTGAGTGCCTTGTAAGTGACTCACACCGTGCTTTAGCAGTTTTTTCAGTAGAACTTGATTTCTCATCCAATTTTTTGTTAGGACACCTTACAATTTTAGTGTATTTGCCTGGGAAATTTCTATTTGGTTGCCTTTCTGTGCAACGACATTTTACAAGCTTAACTTCAGTGTATTGGTCAGTTAAATTTCTTTTTGGTTGTCTTTCAGTAAAAGGACATTTTACAAGTTCAGTTTTGGTATATTTCTCATTTAATTTTACTTTGGGACATTTCACAACTCCACTTGTAGGAGCGGGCGAATGTGTACTGTTGTAAGCTGGCAAAAAAACTAATGATTCTGATGGTAACTCTGAAATATTGTCCATAGAAACAAATTCACTTGACTCTGATTTACATGTTTTACTGTATTTGGATCTTTTTGAAATGTTTTTGTATGATTGATCCGCCACTTCTACAGCTTTTTGTAATGACCGTTTAGTTTTTGAGAAGGCGCTTTGCAACTGTTTGATACTCACATCACCTGATATTCCGTCAAACGATTCTTTATTACAAACAGGACAATAAGGATTGAGACCTTTTTGAACACATATTTGGCACAAAAAACTATCCATCCCTGGATTTTCGCTCACATGAAAACTTAGCATAGTATTGATTGCAATTGATTTCGTTTTGGGTGCATTAATTGGGGTACTCACTGAACATCTACTTGATTTTATTGTTTGAGTATATGAACTTTTGACAAGTACTACTCTAGAAATCATATGGCTTTTGCTGATTGAAGTTTGAATGATTTTATCACTAGCAGATGTATTTGATGTCATTGAACTAATCGGTGACACGGTGGAAGATATATTATGTATGCTTTTACTGGAACAGCTAGGCATTGGCGAGAAGCTTATGTTTGTTTTAAGCAATATAGCTTCTAATTCTTTTTTCGCATTTTGCATTATTTCGGATGTTTTATTGTAACTATTCGTTGCGGTAGCGAAACTTTCCGTTGCCGAACTGCAAGAGTTTTCCTTGACATATTGCGGATTTTTTAACACACTGCGTAAGTTTGGACTTTTATTAATATTACTTATTTTGGGAACTTTTGTAATACTCTTCTTTTGAACACAGACTAGAGGTTTATCACATAGTTCACCAGGAATTTCGATTACTGCGTTTTCTTCTGGATCAATGGTACCTTTGGGTATAAGGATATTTTTTGCTGATTCAGACATTTTCACACTGGAATTTTAATTGTACGATTTTTAAAACTTAAATTGTGAATGTATAAATGACAGATCCTTACAAAAAGGTTAGGTTTATGTTTATGTGAATTGTAGGATTGTTGCTTTTTTTTTTTTGACGTCATCTGTCTTGATCTTGCATCAGGAATCTGGAATTCTAGCCCTTTTACTAGCGAAAGATCCAAAAAAAGGTGAGGAATTTGAAAATGGAAGACTTTGAATCTATTGAAGAATAATCAGAAAGTCAGCTAAAAGCTGAAACAATGCAAGTACTGAAGGCCTAGCTCATTACCAAAAGTGCGGTGACTGGACAACCCATCAACTCTACATAGAACTGGATTTTACAAACGAACCAATTTATTGTGAGCTTATTATCTCACATTTTTTAAAAAGGCAACTTATTGGTGGTACGCAAATCTTGCTCACATATTACAACAATGTTTATTGACCATTTTTCATGAATAAAAAGCTCGCCTGGGTGGAAGCATGCAAACTTTTGAATAAGCTGGATCGCAGATCTCTCAAGTCCTTAGTCCTTGGAACAGTGTCGCTGATCAGTTCCATTTAAGGCTCAGATTATTCTAAGCTTATTCAGAAATTGGCAAATTTCAACAAAAACAAAAAATACAATCCGCTCACTCAATCATGATTCCTTCATTGTGGATAAAATTGAGCATACTTCTTCTTCTTCTTCTTCCCTGGGGTTCTTGGCTTTTGCTCCCAATAGAGCAATTTGCCAGCACATTATTGATCGTGTTCAGAAAGCCGTCTGAATCAGGGTCATGTCCCGAACACAGACTTTTCACTTCTTAATTTTTCTTACTCGTTTGGTGATTGTAGGTTAGTTTAAACATATACAACAGAGGATTAACAAAACAGAGTGGATAATTGGAATTTTGGGACTCGGGATTTTTATCTATGTTTGTAGGAGGTTTATCATTTTTCATTTGTCATCTTTGTTATACTTTATTCATTTTCTTTGATAATAATTAGAAAGAATGTGTTTAAAGGTCGATTTTATTATGTTTCACAAATTTGTTTAATATTTGTATTTTCAATGAGTTTGGGTCTCTTAGTATGGTGAATATAGATAGGGGTGCAGATGTATTTCGGCTTATGAGTTCCTTGTATATATCCTAATTTGGAATTTTATTGATGGGGCATTGCAGTATTATGTGGTTCAGGTCTTCTATTTGTCAACATTTACAGTTAGGTGAGTCCTTTATTTCAATTTGGTGAAAGTATTGGTTTGTAAGACAGTGTCCTGATCTCATAAAAATCATAGTAGTTTATGTATTCGGTCTATGTATTCAAATTGTTTAAACCACATTGATTTGGGAAAATTGTCCTGTATTAAGGCATACTATCTTCCTTTTATATTTAGGGAGCAGGGGAGCAGCGTTCCCGGGAGTACGAGTGTTCCGTCTTTGTTACCTATATTATCATTTGAATATCATTGAGAAAGACGGAACACTCGTTCTCCTGGGAACGTTGCTCCTCTGTTTCAAGAATAAGGACCCAGGTGTCTTGATGCTCTTTTGATATTTGTTTTTGATCATGTGATTTTTGTTCATCTGCACATTTTTTGGTATCCTGGTATCCATGTTAGGCGTATGTCAAAGTTAGATTGAGCAGCTGCAATTAGGGTCCTTTTGCTTTTCTCTTATTTTTTCTTAATATATTATTATACATATTATTATGTTATTATCTCTTGTATTGCAACCATTTCTGCTGTAAAGTATTACCATTATCAATTGAAAATCGCATCTCTATGGTGACTACTCAAAATTAGAAAAATACCCCTTATAATATTATGAAATAATTTTAATATTTTTATGCCTAGTCCTGGTACACTATAACAAAGACACCGCACACCAGTAAAAAAACTTGAAAATTGTCGGCGATGCCGCTGGGCTTTATCGCTTGCCGTCAAAGCTCTTGTTGACAGTGTGAGATATTCTCAGAAGTGGACAAAAGTATAAAATTACACAGATAATTGAATAAAAATCAATTTCAAATTTGAATTTTTAATAAAGGAATAATATTCCCATTCAAATATTTATATTTGATTTATTTCAATAGTTTAAAACGCAATTTTAAGGATTACCTACTATATGAATTTTGCCCATTTATTTAATGTATTAACTCCACTGTATTCTAGTAGTAAATCAGCTAGAATTTCGGGGCAATGGCGTTCGTCATTTCAGTTTTTATAGAAATATCTGGAGTATGTTTATTCTTTATTAACCCAATTTGTTTTCATTTGTCATGATAATAATGTTGTTGCATCATGTGTTGTTTTCAGCAATATTAAACGATTCACATCGACGCTTTGTTGCAAATGCTGGCTTGTTAAGTTGAATTGGGGATAAATAAGTAACACCCATTCAAAATAATTATTTATTCTTCAGAGGTGAAACTTTAAACTAAAAAATAATGCGGAGCAAACGAACTGTGTCGCACCAAGCCCAAAAATCAAGAGAGAGAGGATTACACAAAATATAAAAATGCCTGGAGGCAGGGTTGTAAAAAATTCCCTTTTGTTTGGTGCTGACGCATTAGAAATTAGATAACGAAAATGAGACGTTGCCGTGCTTAACTTATAAGATTAGATACACATAAATAATAGTAAATATAATAAAGAAAAAATAAAAGAAAAAGACTCTAAATTAATGTGGATTGGACATACCGCCCGCCTTGAAAGGTAGTACCTAACTACTTTCAACAAACTTAAAAACTAAAATACAAGAAAATACAATAATAATATAAGAATAAATTTAAATCAACAAATGTTTTTTTTTATTGTTCACCAGGTTTGTCAGCTTCTTGAGGCAATACACAAATTTTTGCCACTGACCGCTTGAAAAGTCCATCACAAGTCTTCACAGACACCACACGAACGTGACCGTCCTGGCCCGGGTGAACTTCACTGATTCGTCCGATCTTCCAGGACATTGGAGGAGTATTGTCCTCTCTCAGAAGAACTAACTGTCCAACCTTGAAAATGTCGCAAGGTCTTTGCCATTTGGATCTTTGCTGCACTGAATGCAAATAGCCTTGCGACCATTTCGCCCAAAACTGCTGCATCAATAATTTTAGAAATCGGTAGCGATTAACATGGGTATGTCTCGAATCGTCGACAGGTGGTTCAGGAAAAGTACGTAGTGCGGTGCCAATTAAAAAGTGTCCCGGCGTCAGTACATCCAGATCTTCCGGGTCTTCGGTGAGGGGTAGGAGGGGACGTGAGTTTATAATGGATTCCACCTGAGCTAGCATTGAATAAAATTCTTCATAATTCAGAGAAACGTTTTGCAAGATACGCTTAAGATGGTATTTCGTTAATCTAACAGCGGATTCCCACAAGCCACCCACGTGAGGAGATCTCGACGGAATGAAGTGCCACTGTATTTTGGAATCTGTTAAAAACCCTTGAAACTCTTGCTCCTGTGCCCTATTTAAAAAATTATTCGCTCCAACAAAATGGGACGCGTTATCCGAGTAAATATCAGAACAAAGACCCCTTCTCGCAATAAACCTTTTAAATGCATTTAAAAAAGAGTCCGTAGATAGTTCCGTTACTAATTCTAGGTGCACAGCCTTCGTAGAAAAGCATATAAAAACGCATATCCAAGCCTTTACAAATTTAGTGTTACGCAGGTAACTGTTTTTAATTTGATATGGCCCTGCGTAATCTACGCCACATATAGAAAAGGGTCGTGATGGATTCACACGAGATGCGGGCAAATCGCCCATTTTCTGACACAAAACAGGGGGTGAAGCGCGAAAACAAATGAAGCATTTTCGCAAAATTCCACGTACAGCTCTCCGCCCACTTAGCGGCCAATAACTTTGTCTAATTATTGCAAGTAAAGCTTGAGGTCCAGCGTGCAAATTTTTGAAATGTTCGTGACGAATTAAAATATCAGTGAAATGATTTTTCGAGGGCAAAATTGCAGGGTGTTTTGCATTGTATGTTAACTTAGCGTTCTTGAGACGTCCACCTACACGGAGAATGTTATGTTCGTCCAAAAATGGATCTAAAGTTAATAACCGGCTGTTTTTAGGAATAAAATTTGATTTTTTCAAGGCTTGTATTTCTGGTAAGAAAGATTCCCTTTGTACAATTTTAATAACGGTCTCCGTAGCTGAACTTAACTCACTTATCGTAACAGGACCTATAATTCTAGACATTTTGTCCTCCTGTAAACAATTAAACTTGAATCTAAGAATGTATGCGATGATTCGCAACAATTTTGTCATTGAAGAATATTTTAAAATAATGTCGCCTTTAACAGGCTCTCTGGTCAGTAAAACTGCTTTGTTTAATTTCATTTCTGGTAGTTCGTTTTCACTTATTGAGATTTTTGAGTGTGGCCAATATTCCTTGTTGTTGTGAAGATATTCAGGGCCATCTATCCACCTTGCTAAAGATTTCATTTCCCGCGGCCAAATACCTCGAGAAACATAATCAGCTGGATTTAAATTGGTTGGAACATGCTGCCATTGCGAGGGTTGAGATAAATTTTGAATTTTGGCAACGCGATTGGAGACGAACGTTTTTTGACGACTTGGTTCAGAATTTATCCAAGCCAACACTATTGTGGAATCGCACCAGAAATAAACATTATTAAATGTAATTGTAAGAGCATCAAGTACCGTTCTAGCTAACTGAGCACCCAAAAGTGCACCGCAAAGTTCTAGACGAGGCAGCGATACTACTTTCAAAGGCGCCACGCGCGATTTCGAACATGCCAGACGCACAAGAATATCGCCAAATTCATTTCTGGACCATATATACAAACAAGACCCATAACAAGATTGAGATGCGTCAGTAAATACATGGAGATCAATTTGATTATAATTTTTTGTGACCATTTGCCTAGGAAATTCTAAGTAATCAAGAAAGGAAATCTCGTTATAGAATTGAAGCCAAGATAACAAAAATTCCTCAGGGATAGGATCATCCCAACTTGTTTTCAATTGCCATAATTTCTGTAC